TGACTTTTGGTGTGCTGGTGATGATCAGTTGTTTCTGACACCATATGTGTGGGGGGACAGCCGTAGATGTGGAATTGCTTGGAAAGAGGTTGACAAAATCTTTTTTCCATGTCGGCTTCCTTCAAAAGATGATAATGTTGTGACACACTTTCTTTTGGGGGTATTGGACTTGAATCAGAAAAAGATTGATGTATACGATTCCATATACAGTGAGCCATATGAGGCAGGAATGAAACACATGGAAATGTATGCACGCATGATCCCCCACTTGCTAAAGTTCGCACAGTTTGACAAACATCACAAGTCTTTTGGAAATGTCTTCAACAAATTTGATATTCAATGGCAAAGATCACCACACCAAATTGGATCGTACGTGTTGTTATTTGTTTTATTATTTATATGTACTTTAGATTTATTGTTTAATTCACTGCATATCTTACATTTCTCTTAGGACTGATTGTGGTGCATTCCTGATCAAATATGTTGAGTTGCTGATGATTGGAAAGGATGTGGAGCAATTCAAACCCGAAGACATAAAGACTTTAGAAAAGAACTTGCTGCAAATCTTTGGGCACATGGTGAATGGAAACGAAATTCTGGTTATGATACTCCACCAGAAAATATTGGCGATGATTATGAGAGTGAAAATGAAACTTGCTGTCCAAAGGAGTTGTAGTTTAGTTTTAAAGAAAGTTAGTTGTGGATGATCTTTTGTATAAAATTGTTGTAAAGGATACATGCGAATTCTGCAAGTTTAGAAAACTTCTAAAATATTCTGTAAATTCCTAAAAAGGCACTTATATTTTGTTGGCATAGCGTAATTTTTTGACACAGCTATGCAAAATTACAATTTCAGAAGTTATATCAAGGCATCATGTTATTAATTTCTTTGTTTCTCTCAAGTGTTGATTTGTCCATTGAGTTTGTTAGTATTAGTTCATGACTAAGTGTAAGTGAACTTCAAATTCAAAGTTAAGGATCAAATGTCCTTAACTTTTGAACTTGAAACACAAATGTAAGGACTTCCTATCCTGAACTTTTGAACGTGTAATTCAAACTTAAGGACTGGTTGTCCTTAACTTTTGAACCTGTATTTCAAACTTAAGGACTCCTGTCCTTTGAACTTTGAACTCAAAGTTAAGGACTGCATGTCCTTAACTTTTGAACGTATAATTCAAACTTAAGGACTGCCTGTCCATAACTTTTTAATCAGCAAGTCAAACTTAAGGACTGTTGTCCTTAACTTTTGAACTTAAAACTCAAAGTTAAGGACAGACAGTCCTTAAGTTTTAAACTTGAAACTATAAGTTAAGGACTTCCTGTCCTTAACTTTTAATCTTCGAAAAGAAAGTTAAGGACAGACTGTCCTTAAGTTTTAAAATTGCAAGTCGAACTTACGGACTCCTGTCCTTAACTTTTAATCTTTGAACTCAAAAGAAACTTAAAAGAGTTGATAAACATAAGTGGATATATCTACTCTTCTCTATGCTTTCTTGAAAATTGATGGAGAGCCGGAGAATATATACAAGATGTTCTATTATGACCAATTCTTCTGCAACGACCACATTTGAATGTTATTTTTGATGACTCAGTAGCAGGAATATGCCTTTTCTTCTGCCTTCTACCTGGTGGCACTTTGAAATCTGGAGGTTTAACAATTTGTGACTTAACACTCTCTGGTACAATCCAAGAATCAGTACGTCCTACAGGATGTATTTGTCTTTCATATGTTTTCAGCCAAGATTCCTTTAAGTACCAATGCGAACAAAAGTTGGACTTCTTGATGTTTCTCTTCTCGATAGCTGCAATTGCATGTATGCATGGTAATTCATTAAATTGAAACTGAAAACAATCACATGTTCTTTTGTTTAAGTCCACCAAGAAAGTTATTCCTTCTTCTTCAACTCTAGAACACCATGAATCAACAGGGAAGACCTTCAATGTTGAAAAATTATAAGTTAGTACATTATGTTTAATAATATTAAAATCATAAGATAAACATAGAACATAATACTTACATTCAAAGTAAATGCTAAATCTATTCTTTTCTTCAATTCCTCTCTACCCAACAAGAAACATCATAAAATGTTCCTTCTGCTTTATTTCTTCTTTCATAAAACCAATGTTGTAGCTTCACTTGAATGAAATCCATCATTCTTAATATAGGCAGCTCCCTTGCTTCTAATAGGACAGAATTCATTGACTCAACTATGTTTGTTGTAAGCATGTCATATCTTCGTCGTGGACTACAAGAACGTGCCCATCTTTCCGGTGGTTCTTCCATCAAGTAGTCATAAGTCTTCTTATCTACTTTTGCTATATCTGACATGTATAGGTCAAATTCTTTGCGCCTGTATACTCTTGCAGCACTTTGGAAAAGTTTTATGACCTCAATTTTCACCTTCCTTCGCTTTAGGTTCTGCTCCAAATGATAGATGCAAATCCCATGATGGCTTTCAGGATATACCTTTGTAATAGCTTGATGCCTGTCTGATAAAAAAATTAAATTCTCATGGCCCCCAATTGCATTACGAAGCTGACTAAAGTACCACTCATAGGAATTGTTATTTTCAGATTCTGCTATTCCAAAGGCTAGTGGGAAAATTTGGTTATTTGCATCCTTTGAAACTGAAATCATTAAAACACCACGAAATTTTGACTTCAAAAAAGTTTCATCAACAGCAATCACTGGTCTACAATGATTCCAACCTGCTATTGATGATCCATATGCATAAAACATATAAAGAAACCTGAAAATACAATATAAAACAAGGTTAACAAAAGTTAAGGACAGGTAGTCCTGAACTTCAGATTACAAGGTTAAAAGTTAAGGACAGTCAGTCCTTAACTTAGAGTTTCAAGTTATAAAGTTAAGGACATGCGGTCCTTAACTTTGATTTCAAAGTTCAAACTTAAGGACCGACAGTCCTTAACTTTGAATTACAAGTTCAGAAGTTAAGGACAGCCAGTCCTGAACTTCTGGTTACAACTCAAAAGTTAACAAGGTTAAAGACAGCATGTCCTAAATTTTATAAAACGTACTAATAAACTTTTTTTTGATTGTTTACCTGTTGTTGTCGTCTATCTTTATGTTAGTATAAGTTCCCGGATTTTTACTTGTCATCATATACAAGTATGAAAACAATAATTTATAATTCTCTTCGGGAGTTCCTCTTATTAAAGCGGAAGCATGTTGAATAGCACGCCACGCCTTGTGATATCCAATGTCTAGTCCATGCAATTTTTGCATCTCTGCCATGACAAAAGCTGGTGTAACTTCAAACCTTGGGTCCCGAAGATTGTCGATAATGTAAGCACTAATCAACTTTGAAGTAGCATGCCTTTGATCTGCTTTGATTGTGTTAACAGAGCAGTCATGCTTTTTCTCAATCTTTACTATCTTGAACATTGTTGAATCTTTAATTCTGAAAGCACACACACACCAACAACACCTATCATCATTGCATTTCAATGAATATCTTGTTGAGCTTGATCTAACAACCTTGAATTCAAAATGTCCTTTAATTGCTATATTGGAAAAATAGTTAATTATACTCTTCTTCTTGTCAAATACTTATCCGACTTTTATTTCTTCCAATGAAGCATTTTCTCTTAATATCGTAGTTGGGGATTCTTTTTGTTTCAAAATTGATCTTCGTCTAGTTAGTTGAGTAGAGGTTTTTTCAGCAACTTCTTCGATTACTGGTGTACTCTCTAAGACTTGAATACCCAAAGCTTGTTCGTTGTCAATCTCTATAATGCTTTGTCCTTCTACTTGAATAGAATCAAATGTTTGAAGCACCTCTTCAGTTATTGGTTGAGCTTCATCCATATCTATTTCCATTATTTGTTGGCAATTGTCTTGATAGTCATCTTGAGTTTCTCTGTTGACATGTGTTTGAAGCACCTCTTCAACCATATCTATTTCCATCTGTTGGCATTTGTTTTGATTGTCATGTTGAGTTTCTGTGTTGACATGTTCATTGCTTGTTGATCCAAAAACTCTTTCCGAAATATCAACAATGAAACGACAACCCTTGAAGAGTGAATGAGTTTTTAGTAACTCTATACATGTGTGAAGATCTAAATCTTTGGATACAAGCATTCCTTTGCTTGTTCCAAGGTTAATATCAAACCATATCACTGCTTCAAACTTGTGTCTATCCAATTCAATAACCTCAAAGATCTGTTTAATGAAATCTTCAAACCGAATTGACTCAGATACTAGAACAAGCTTCGTTTGATGATCAAGATATTTATAGTCTTCAGTCCATCTACCATTAAAAGCAACTATAATGCATATTGTTTCCATCCTGCAAGTCAAGAGAATGGGAAACTCCGGACATATTTTATAAAGCAATCCTTGTATAATTAAGAACAGGTACTGTAAGTTCAAGACCAAGTTAAGGACCAAGTGTCCTTAACATTTTAACTTGAAATTCAAAGTTAAGGACTGCCTATCCTTAACTTTTGAACCTGTAATTGAAACTTAAGGACTGCCTGTCCTTAACTTTTGAACTTGGAATTCAAACTTAAGGATTTCCTGTCCTTAACTTTTGAACCTTCAAGTCAAACTTAAGGACTCATGCCCTTAACTTTTCAACCTGTAATTCAAACTTAAGGACTTCCGGTCCTTAACTTTTGAACCTGCAAGTAAAACTTAAGGACTTCATGTCCTTAACTTTTGAACCTGCAAGTCAAACTTAAGGATTCATGTCCTTCACTTTTCAATCTCTAATTCAAAATTAAGGACATGTTTTAACTAATAAGTGTAAGTTAAGGACCAAATGTTCCTTAACTTTTTCAATTTGAAACTCAAACTTCAGGACTTAGTGTCCTTTACTTTTTCAAAACAATTTGCAAAACTATGACAGTATGTCCTTAATATACAGAAGAACATCAACAAAGTTAAGGACATTGTGTCCTTAACTTTTTCAATTCAATTTGCAAAATGAGGACACTATGTCCTTAATATTATGTGCTCAATTTTTATAGAATTATCATAGGAGGCGATGTCCTTAACTTTATCAATCCAGAAATTCAAAAAAAATAATCAAATTTCTACTTACTGTATAAAAATCAATAGAAATCGGAAAGAGTATAACTATGTCGAAATAAACATCAATAGAAACACATAAAAGTATAACTTACTGTAAATATATGTCGATTTTTGGATGAGAATGTTGAATTTTTGAAATCTGAAGAGAATTTTGCGTTGCTGCTGCGCAGCTGCTGCTGCTGCGTTGCTGCTGCTCGTTAATGTTAGCGTAGGTATAAGTTATAGCAGAAGGGTATTTTCGTCCAGTCAGGTATAAGTTTATTAAACCAGTGGCTAAAAACTAAAGACATTTAAAACACTGGCTTTAAAATAAAGACAGGTACTGTTAGTGGCTATTTGTGCACATCGACCGCGCTAGAGTTACCAAGCCCATATTTACAGCCCTCATACTAGCGACTGATTTACACAAATGGCTCTCTTTTAGCCTATCATTAAAATTTGGGGTTTTGGCATGGTATAACAACATACTCGTATAATTGACAGAAAATAGCCTTAGTTATAAATATTGGCATCAAATAGCCAATAATTGTATATCACAATAATAATATGTATATCACAACTTTTTTTTTCTTCTTTGTCTATACCAACAACAACAACTACCCAGTAAAATCCCACAAAGTGGGGTCTGGGGAGGGTAATGTGTACGCAGACCTTACCCCTACCCCGATAGGGCAAAGAGGCTATTTCCGATAGACCCTCGGCTCAGAATCTTTGTTTATACCAACATGTATATTAAAATTTTATTTTCATTCTTTGTATATAAATAATATTATTCTTTGTATATCAATAATATAAAATTATATATATAGTTATTGTTGCCTTTATATCAATGTATATCACAATAAAAATATTTTATTATTTGTATAGCACATCGGACATATGTATACCAAAATAGATATCACAAGTTTATTTTTCTTCTTTGTGTACATCAAAAATTAATTTTCTTTGTATACTAAAATGTTATTTACTTCCATAATTATATTTATATTTTAAAATATGCTTAAACGTGCTATATCAAAAATTTATTTTCCTTTTTTGATCAGTAATTAATAATTATATTATACGTATATCACAGTGTATAACATAATAATAATGTGTATATAAAAAAATTATTAAAATTTTATTTTCCTCCTTTGTATAACACATTTTCGATTGAAAACTCAAGTTCGAGACGACTCCACATGTGTATCCACTATTGTAACTCGTGTATATCTCTATGTACATCAGTCTTATGTATATTATGTGTATATCCATGAACATTTGTGTTATATATACGATATACAATGTGATATACATGGGCGTCCATAAAAAATTGTGTTGTATACCGATATACAAAGTGATATACACAGACGTCCTTAAAAACTTGTGTGTGATATACACTAACGTACACGATATACAACGTGATATACACATGTCGCAATTGGATTTTTATGTCTGATTTGCCTGAAACCAGTCTAAATCACTTCTATTCTTGCTCAAAATTTGTATATAGACTCGTTTAGGTATTTTCAATCAGTTTCAATCACACTCACTCATTCAATCCAACCAAAAAAAGGAAGAAAGAAGAAAAACAAAGTTGAAATATATTTTTTTTCTTTAGTTTTTGCTAATCTTGCTCAAATTTTGTACATAGCCTCGTTTAGGTATTTTCAACCAATTTCAGTCACACCTACTCATTCAATCCAACCAAAAAAAAAAAAGAAGAGAGAAGAAAAACAAAGTTGAAATATATTTTTTTCTCTCTTAGTTTTGCTTCTAATTTTCTCTAATGTGAGATCAACTTTACCTTTTCATCCCACTGATTTTTTTTGTATAATCTGCAAGAATATTTGCTAAACTATGAAAGCAAAAGAAAAGAGATAGAAGAAGAAATACAAGGAGCGAAAGGGGGAGGGAAGCCAAAATAAGCGTGTAGTTTTTTTTTAAAGAGAATATGAAGAGAGTAGGTTTTTTTATAATATGTCTATATAATGCCAATTGTTTGGGGCTATCTTTGCCAAACCTAATATAAGGCTGAAAATTGCGAATTCCTATTATGCGTTGTTATATGATGCCAATTTCTCTTAAACTTTTGTCCCTTGTGGGATCTAACTTGGTCGTTGTTGCTGTTGTTGTTCCTTATTTTCAAACATTATGCAAACATAGCTCTTGTGAAATTATTCTTTCTGATAATTATAGACTCGCCTCTAATGTTTGCCCATATATTATTCAACATTACATACGGAGTATTAGGCTGTTGTTAAAAGTATCTAATAATTTATAGTAAAATTTTAGACTGTCATCAAATATTTTTCATAAGATTTTTTGTTTGTTCAAAAAAAATTGTTAGACTATGATCTAAAAGATCCATAAGTATCAGAAGAAATTAAAGGACGACCTTTTATTACACGGATGTTGCAAAAAGGGACAATCGGTAGGACTAGTTACCTCCTATAGCAATGGTTGATACTTTATTTATTTTGAATAAATACCCTTTTAAAAAAATTATATTTCATAGCTACCTTTTGATTTTTTATAGCCAAATATCTATCTATGGTCACCTCTGATCACTGCCAACTCCATGTTAGTATAAAGTAGGAAGAGAGGGTCGCAATAGCTTTTACCCGATATAAGGGTCGGGATCGAATTCCTCAGAGAGCTAGAAATTGGAGCTGGGTATCTATCTAGACTAGAGTCGTGTAATTGTTCTAAATATCACTTCCAATATTTTTGGTTTTTTCAATTATAAACTACTATTATCAAACTACTAATTGAAACTAGATTATGTTACGAAATAATTGCTAAGGTTATATCTAATGGGAAGAAGGGCACTAGGGTCGTGACATCACCTAGGTGGCTAATTGACGGGTAGATGTTACTAAGGTTCGATTGATATAATTAGGACTTATGCTATAGCCGTTGCACAATTGTACCCACTCTCACACCTCTCGGTAGAGAGAGTGATTTTGCCCACTTGACTCTCTCGAGACCAAATGGATAGGCAAATTAGATCAAGCAACTAGGGTTCAAGTAGGGTGATTACTCTCTCGAGGTTTAACCCGTTAATTGGGACTATCATTTCTCATGAGTCCATCTCAATTCCTTGTTGGATCAATTTTGGAGACCTAGACTCTCTTTCTCAAGAAGAGTCAAATCCACAAAGCACAAATCAGTGTTTGCAACCACCAATTTATAAATTAAAACATAAAATCAACCCAAATAGCAAACACTCATAGTCAATCTAACCCTAGATGGCAACACCCATCAATTACCCACACTAGGGTTGAGCCACAACCCTAGATAATGGGTTTAGCTACTCATGCTTGAAAGAGAAAATGAAGAAATAGATGAAGAACAAGACATATTAATTA